ATATGTTGTTTATAAGTTAATTTTTCACAAAAATACTACTTTTTAAATACATTTTATTATGTATACTGTATATTTAGTTTTTTTTTCTTTATAAAAATCAAGCATCTATAGTCTTTATGATAAAATGTCTTTATCGTTTTTATTTTTTAAGATTGTTGTTTTTTTCCATATAAAAGCTGATCAGTTATTGTAAAGTTTAAATTACCTGTCCATCCATCATCATCGGTCCATGTATTCTGTCATTGTCAGTCCTGCTCAGGAGAGCTTAATTATCTCATTGCCGATTACCCAGAATTCTCCTCTCGGTCTCCTTCAGATGATGCAGTGTCTCAGATTGGGCGCTCTGTCCCGCACCACCGCCAGCACTCAGATGAATGTCCAGAGCTCACGCTCTCATGCCATCTTCACCATCCACCTGTGCCAAGTTCGCGTCTGTGCCTCAGACAATGTAGGTGGCGCCGCCTGGATATCAAATCTCCTACAGCTGGAAAACATTCGCTCAGATCACACTGTCACACAGCTGTGAGAGTGTGTTTGTTATACTGTTTGGTCATCAAACCAGAATTGAGTCGCCTTGAAAGTGTCTCCACCGAATATTAGATACATGTTGAAATCTGTTTTTAAAAAATTTGATTGATAACAACCTTCATTAAAATTGTAGTTTAAGATAAGTGTGTTAGCTTTGTATTATTGGGGTATTTAGGTAGAATGAGTTAATATATAACTCTCTTCAGTTTTTAATTTTATGTTTTCTTACAGGACACGGAGACCGATAACAAACTGGTGAATGGCTCCTCAGAAATGAACGAGTTTGAGACGCTAACAGCTAAGTTTCACTTTGTGGATTTAGCCGGCTCTGAGCGACTGAAGAGAACAGGGGCCACAGGGGATCGAGCCAAAGAGGGCATTTCTATCAACTGTGGACTGGTAAGAAAAGAAGTGGAATTCATAAACACTAAAAGACTCACAGTTTCTCAAGTATAGCTACAAGACATAAACAATATGTGTGTTAGCATGATTTCAGTATGATAAAATTGCTTAGTAACCTTTTCTGTCCGAAGTTATGTCCAGTTTTACTACAAACATAAAATTTACTTCAACATAAAATGAAATAATAGTTAAATAATGAATTATCAATTATATTAGAAACTGTTATATATATATAGTGAGGTAGATATGTGGGGGTGTGTTAGATCGAGCCGTTTTAGGGGGGCGTGGCAGAGTCTTAACTTTGATAAAGAATATCTCTTTGGTTTTGAGACTTTAGTCTTTGCAACTTCAGGGATCTTATCTATGCACAATCAGCTTGTAACACTCCAAAGAGAAAGGAAAACTTGAAATCGCATCATATGACCCCTTTAAGAAAAATATGTTATGTTTATATATTAAATATATTTTTAATATTTAATATAAATATATGTAAATGTTTTCTAAATATATATTGTACGTGTTTGTATTTGTATATACATAATAAATATATACAATACACACATATATTATGTAAACAAAAACTTTTATTTTGGATGCGGTTAATCACGATTATCGTTTGACAGCACTAATATATATACATATATATAAGCATTTTTACTGGAGTAAACAAGGACATAATATCTATTTTTGAGTGAACGATTCTTTTAATGTGAGACATTCACTGTATATTTGGTCTGTATTACCTCTGATAACCAATAATTGTTTTGTGGTGGTAAAGTTAGCTCTTGGCAATGTGATCAGCGCTCTGGGTGACAGGAGCAAACGCTCCACACATGTGCCTTACCGTGACTCCAAGCTCACTCGCCTGCTTCAAGATTCCTTAGGAGGAAACAGGTGAGCATCTGTACATTATTTCAATTTTTAGACATTGTATTAGGAGATATTGCAGGTATTTGTGCAGTTTTTTAAACATTGCCTCTCTTGTGACCTACAGCCAGACAGTGATGATCGCCTGCATCAGTCCATCAGATAGAGACTTCATGGAGACCCTTAACACGCTAAAATATGCAAACCGTGCTCGCAACATCAAGAACAAAGTGATGGTGAACCAGGACCGGGCCAGTCAACAGATCAGTGCTCTGAGAACAGAGATCGCTCGACTGCAAATGGAGCTCATGGAGTACAAAACGGTTTGTGCAGCGTCTCTATTTGTTTCAAGTTTGTGTCAGAATTCGATTTTCACTATAATGTCTCTAACATGTTTGTGAACAAGATTTTGTTTATATAATATAATAAAGGAACTTTTCCTAATTTAAATGAGTAAAGTTATTAATTTTTGCATTATTTTAATTTTAGTTAAATTGCTTATAACAAATAATAGAATAGAATACATTATTACATATGTTTGTTTTTTTAAACAGGGCAAGCGTATGGTTGGCGAGGACGGTCTGGAAAGCATCAATGATATGGTGCATGAGAATTCCATGCTGCAGACAGAAAACAATAACCTGCGTGTACGAGTGAAGGCAATGCAGGAAACCATTGATGCCCAGAGAGCCAGACTCACCCAGCTACTCAGCGACCAGGCCAACCAGACCCTCGCCAGAGCAGGTACAAACAATGACATATAAAGAAAATATCAAATAGTTTAGATATTAAGTAATAATAATGCTTATACATAGCAAGAGAAGTTAAAATGAAACAATAGTGATATATTTTTAAATTAAGCTGTCGAATTGATTTTGTGTTAAAGGTGGGGTAAGTGATTTCTAGTAGCCCCTATTTTGATAGCTCTGCCCCACACATGCGTACGCAACCCAGTCAACGATTAGTTCTGTGAAACAAAGCAAAACCAATGTTACACTGTGTCTACACCGGATGCGAGCGTCGCGGCGCGACAAAATACTATAGAACTCATTATAATCAGTGATTCTGTCTACACCATAGATATATATACTGTACATATCTATGGTCTACACTGGATGCGGCGCGGCACGACACGACAAATCCCAGACAGAAAACTGCTGCTGTGTTCTATTCATGACGTATTGACACAAGTTTCAAATGATTTTCAACGGTCGCTTTGTCGCATCCAGTGTACTAGACAGACTTTCGCTGTTGCGGCACAGACACGGTGTTACTCACCTATCGAGAAGAAACAAAGCAACCTCGGCGACCGATCGCAGGCTTTCAGCTCCTTGAGTTCTCTCCAGCGCTGGAAAGCTGATCCGATATTTACACGGGTCCTACTTCTTGCCTTATTGCCTTAAGCCTTCTTTTGTTCCGCAGACGTTTTCCTCTTTTGTTTTTTTTAGATGGATTAAGATCTCCTAGACACAAGAAGGATCATTTCCTTCATCTCTAAAATACATTATTGTGCTGTTTTTGCATACCCAGCAAAATGTTCTTTGACTTTTTGCAGGTGAAGGGAATGAAGAGATCGGAAACATGATCCAGAATTATATCAAAGAGATTGAGGAGCTCAGGTAATGTACGCAAGCACAGTGCACCCACATGTCAGAAGTTCTTAAAACCTCTCTATATGTGTAATGTTTGTGTATTTTGTGGTCTTCAGGGCAAAGCTACTAGAGAGTGAGGCTGTAAATGAAACCTTGCGGAAGAACCTGTCCCGTGCCTCCACCCGCTCTTCATTTTACGGTCCAACCTCTGTTACCCCCAGCCTCCTTGCACCCGAAAAAGATGCCACAGACATCATTGGAATTGCAAAGAAAGACCTGGAGAAACTGAAGAAAAAGGAAAAGAAGAAAAAGAAGAGGTAAGCTACTGATATTGATGCTTATAACCATGCAGCTGAGGAACATGAAACTCCGATTTCCTTTTTATCCCTGGATAAAGGAGGGCGTGTCAGGGATTGTTCTGGTCTGCTGTATGCCTCAAATATGTGGTATACAATTTCTATGCTTCCTCACAGGCATCCTCATTGTGATGAGTTGCTTCCAAGAGGAAACATTTGAAAAATGTTGTAAATACGTTTATGCGTGACTATCCATCTTTGTCACAAGTTCTTCTTCCCTGACTTTTTCACCCACATTATGCATTTGTCAGGATGGTTATATCAGTTACCGTGAGCTAAAATAAGAGAAATCGTACATCTATGTAAGTTTTTTTTAAACCTAAATTCCACATGCAACATGGTAAAGGCAGCTGACCAATGGCAACTGATTATTGCAACTTAAATAGTCATAATTTAGTATTAGTTAGTCATAAATTAATGTAATTTAGTCATAAATGATAATTTTTCTTCCTTTTTTATCCTTATTTTACAAAATGATATAAAACTGTTGAATATAAGTAAATGTTTTAAATGCCATAGTTTAAGTTTAATACAAAAATCTAGGGATGCACCGATATGAAAATTTTGGCCGATACCGATAACCGATTATTATTGGTTGTTTGAGAGTGTAGAGATTTTATTTTGTCATTTGGAATGATTCACGATGACGAGAGTACTAGTCACTGCTAAGTTTTGTTTACATCAGATTAATTTATTCATTACCAAAAAAAAAGGACGTATTCCTGTTCCTCACGTGTTCTTCTCTGCCGTCATCTTTGGCACCGTGATTCCTCTTACTCTCACTCATCTCCACCAAACCCCCCTCACTCTTGAAGACTCCAGCAGATGGATGAAGGTGCTCATGAAGATCTTGAGAACGTCAGGTTGGAGAATGTCATTGAATGTAGTTGTTCCACTAACCGCAGTCAACGCGCCATGGAAAATTTGACCCATTGTACTGCCCTCTTCTTTTCTCTAATATAACACTTTAAACATCAACGGTTCAAGAGTTTAGTGTATATGAACCTGTTTCAAACCTAGTCAAACTCTACATAGTCAGCAACACCAAATAGTGCTCTTTTGGTAAAATTTGACATTAGCATGTTGCTAAGCTAACACTCAGTTACTAAAAACATAATAGATAACACATAGTCTACAACTATTGGGTCAAATAGTCCATTTGCAGCTATTTCTATTGAATCTTAGTGATATCTAAGTATTAGTTACCGTTATAGCTAAGTTAACCCTGTTGAAAAAAACAGAATATGCTGGTTAGGTATGTTTTGAAGCTGGGATGCTGGTTTGAGCTGGTTTAAGCTGGTCCTTTGCTGGTTTAAGCTGGTCCTTTGCTGGTTTAAGCTGGTCCTTTGCTGGTTTATGCTGGTCCTTTGCTGGTTTAAGCTGGTCCTTTGCTGGTTTATGCTGGTCCTTTGCTGGTTTAAGCTGGTCCTTTGCTGGTTTATGCTGGTCCTTTGCTGGTTTAAGCTGGTCCTTTGCTGGTTCTGTGCATTTGTGTGTTGACAGAGGACTTCCAGGCAGATCTGGCCAACATCACGTGTGAGATCGCCATCAAACAGCGGCTGATCGATGAACTGGAGAACAGTCAGAGACGTCTGCACACACTCAAACAACAGTATGAGCAGAAACTCATGATGCTGCAGAGCAAAATCAGAGACACACAGCTGGAAAGAGACCGTGTATTTCAAAACATGGGTACGATACACACACAGTATAACTCAGTGATCTATATGATCTATAAACAAACTATGCAAGTAATGAGCATTTCATAAAGATGATCACATTTGGAATGAAATCATGCACCTGCAGCATTCAAATCTCAGTAAATCTCTAGCGCCCTCTTCTGGCTTGATTTGGAAACAGCTAAATGAAAATGCAAATGCATAATAAACAAGTTATAGGCCTTTTACACAACGCACTATAAAACAAAGCAAAGTGTACTGTAAGTTGCACAGCTTAACTGTCACAGAAGGTCACAATACTTTACTACTTAAAAGTTGGTAACACTTAATACACTTAAAACACTTGATCCCTAGTATAGGGATCAGTTCTCACTATTAACTAGTTGCTTTTTAGTAGGGTTGGGTATCGTTTGAATTTTATCGATTCCGATTCTTATCAATTCCTAGTTTCGATTCCAATAAGATAAAAAATTAAGTCAAACATTTATTGAGTCTTTTCACAAAGCATTCTGTTGCAGCTGAATAACACAAGCAAAAATCAGCAGCCTACAGAACACTGCAAGAGGAATTTTGCCTATGCTTTAAAAAAAAATACCACAGCAAAAACAACTAGATTAATATACATTTCAAATATTAAAGTGTTAAAGACAAGTAAACGGTCAGTAATAAGATAGGAACAAACAAATCAATTAGCAATATCATAAATAAATACAACTGAACAAAATTTCAGGTACAGAAACTGTAATTAAAAGTTTAAAAACACTGCATAGTTTTCTTTTCATAAATAAAATATAGATTCATCAATTAAAGTTATTAAATATATTCAGTCAAGATCAGTGAATGATTTTCTTTTGTTCGTTGTTTAACATTAATGACAGGCAGCGCGTTTATTAGGTTGCTGTCTCTTTAACACCGAACGCACGCAGATCTAAAAATACTGTACATGTGTGTTTTCTTTCTCATCTGTTTACGTTCACGTAAGACAAAAAACGGCTGTGTTTATGAAGATATTCTGACAAAGTTTTCTGCATATTGGTCGACAAACAACCCAGAACAACCTTTTCTACAGTGGAAATACACGGAACGGTTCGAGAACGGACACAAACCCGTACCGCGACCTCTGTTCTCTGTGCTCGCGCTTGCGCTTCGTGTGCGCTGCACGCAAACAGGGCGCAAGTTCTTTCCGTTCCTGCACTTAAATCATTTTTAATCACATTAAAATGCGAACGCAGGAATCGTTAAGCAGAATCGAAATGCACGCGTCTTACCAAATACCAGGTTCTTGGAAATTTGGAACCGGTTCTAAAATGGAACCGGTTTTCGATACCCAACCCAACTTATTAGCATGCCTATTATTTACCTATTGGCTGTTTATTAGTACTTATAAAGCACATATTCTGCATGACCATATTCTACATCCCTAATCCTACCCAATAACTTAACAAAGCTTAACAACTACTAATAAGCAGCTAATTAGAAGTTTATTGAGGCAAAAGTCAAAGTTAATGGGTTGTTAATGGCGAGAATTTGACCTTAAAATAAAGCGAGACCTAAAAGTCCAAATTTCTATTCACATTTCTGTGCAGGCTCAGTGGAGTCATGTACAGAGGAGAAAGCAAAGAAGATAAAGTCCGAATACGAGAAGAAGTTGAACTCCATGAACAAGGAGTTGCAGAAACTGCAGTCGGCACGGAAGGAACACGCACGCCTTCTGAAGAACCAGTCACAGTACGAGAAACAGCTGAAGAAGCTACAGCAGGAAGTTACTGAGATGAAGAAAACCAAGGTAGGCTTGTTTGTGTGTGGGGCCATTTACACAGCAGCAACGGTGTCTAATCATTGTCATGGTGGCTTTGTTTCGCTCAGGTGGGTTTGATGAAACAGATGAAGGAACATCAGGAGAGGACCCGAGCCACAGAGACCCGCCGCAACCGAGAGATCGCCACACTCAAGAAAGACCATCGCAAACAAGAGGTGGCGCACTGTACCCTGAGAATTATGGGATATTCTCAGATACAATTCCTGCTCATTCTCTTGTTGTCTTTTCTCTGTCTTGTCTCGTTTAGCACCAGCTAAGGCAGCTTGAGGCTCAAAAGAGACAGCAGGAGCTCGTTCTCCGCAGGAGGGCAGAGGAGGTGACCGAATAAGGATTAGTTGGGAATTTTTTTTTTGTTACAAAAATGCTGGTTTGATAGCTGTAGCTATTTGAAAGGCTTTAGAGATGATTCAAAATTGTTAAAAAAGAATTTAAAAATAAGAATAAAATAAAAAAGAATATATACACTACCAGAATTTTCTTTTTTGGGTGAACTGTTCCTTTAATTGCTCAGTCATGCCCCTAACGAATGAGTGACAGAATCTTTTTTTTATTGGAATGAAATGTAACTAGAGATAATATTAAGAGATACGTAGAGAGAATACTTGATTGACAAAGGAGGCGCTTTCCACAAATACACTACCAGTCAAACGTTTTTGAACAGTAAGGTTTTTTTTTAAGAATTCTCTTCTGCTCACCAAGCCTGCATTGATTTGATCCAAAATACAGCAAAAGCAATAATATTGTGAAATATTGTTACTGTTTAAAATAACTGCTTTCTATTTGAATATATTTTAAAATGTAATTTATTCCTGTGATCAAAGCTACATTTTCAGCGTTATTACTCCAATCTTCAGTGTCACATGATCCTTCAGAAATCACTCTAATATGCTGATTTGCTGTTCAATAATTTTTTTTAAATTATTTTTCAAATAAATACTGTTCTTCTGAACTTTCTATTTCTTTAAATAAATCTTAAATAAATAAATCTAAAATATTTCACATTTTTACTGTTTTTGCTGTACTTTGGATCAAATAAATGCAGGTTTGGTGAGCAGAAGATACTTTAAAAATCTTACTGTTCAAAAACTTTTGGATATAGTGAAATAGTGAAATTGAGAAAATAAAAGAAAAAAAAATCAAAGAGTGTCAAAGGTTTTGGTGGAATGGGTTTTCAGTGGTGGGAATCTTTCAGGTTTTGTTAAGCATAGCTTAATTTGTGTTTTTCGATGAATGAAAGAGCAACATGAGGGTAAATGAATGATGACTATCTTAATTTCTGGGTGAACCATGCCTTTAATCACTCACACTGTAACACATATAGAACGATACTAAGATTTTTATTTCCTGCATCTTTGAATCAGATAACTGCCCTGAGGCGCCAAGTGCGACCAGCATCAGGCAAGTTTAACCGTAAGGTCAGTTTACCAGAGCCTTTGCAGGAGTCTTCACCCCGTACGGCTGCTATCAGACCACAAACTGCTGGGGCCACAGCTCCTAATTGGACAAGGTAATGTGCGTTTCATTTCAGAAGGGTTGGCTCATGGGTATCTGAGTGACTGATGCGGTCAAAATACTTGTATTTCAGAAAGTACCAGATGAGAACAGGAGGAGTGTACTCTACCAGGACGGCGCGGGCCAAATGGCAGTCGCTAGAGCGGCGCATTAGTGACATCATCATGCAGAGGATGACCATCTCCAATATGGAGACTGACATGAACCGTTTGCTTAAGGTGACCAAGAACAGCTTTTTCATTTGTACTAAACAAATCTCATCAAACGGGACAAAACGTAAACTCATGGTCTCGTGTTGCTTTTTTATTTTGAGCAAATTCAAGATTGAGTTAATTGACAAACTATTCTTTTAATTCCTTCAGTGTCACATGATCCTTCAGAAATCACTCTAATATGCTGATTTGCTGTTCAATAATTTTTTTTAAATTATTATCAATATTTAAAACAGTTAAGTACATTTTTTTCAGGATTCACTGATGAATATAAAGATCAGCATTTACCTGAAATAAAAAGCTTTTGAAACATACACTATACCATTCAAAAGCTTGGAGTCATATATATA